AGGAAGATTATAGGTATTTATTTTTCCACTCAGGATATTAAACTCATAGCTCGCTGTTGGAGACAGTGCGCGCTCTGTTATGAGACGTCACGTCTCAGACATCGAGTGCCATCTGAGATATCTGTACAGGATAGTGAAGGAGAAAATACGTGTATATTTGATTGTGACGTCAACAAGAATGTTTTTGAAGTGTGCATGTTTCAACAATTTGTCACGTACGTCATGACTGACAGATCGAGGCGGGGTGAATATAACATGAGTTAAAAGGGGTGCTTGGTTCGCTGAAAATCAGGTATGACACCAGGTGTTCGCGAAAAGGGTGAGCATGGTTGTCCTACCGGTAACATCCGCCACTCGCACAAATGTGCCTACAAAGTAAGTGTTACCTTGTTGCCCGACACCGCACAGCAGTACTGCTGTCATACGACGGCAGTCTGTCAACAAACCAGACAATCACGTGATGTCCAGGAAATCGACTGACACGAGAGCACATTTACTGATTTTGTTGAAACGAAAAGCAGATCAAAGCAAAAATCGTTATATCATTTTTGTCCTGTGAGAATTGACATTGTTGCGCAATAGGAAATAATAATTGTAACAGTTTGGGAAAGATTACTATTAAACGTTACGTCTGTAGTGATCTTCATCACAATGCATTTGTTTTGAGAATGTAGTCCTACAACACAGGAAGTTAGGGTGCTGCCATATCACTATTCCAGCTGTATACTCTAATCGATCTGGGCCGGACGTATCAGTGATTGATATTATGATCAACGATTCACACCGTCGGGTACGCTGACAACGAGCCCGACCACCCGATTCACTAAGTCGTCTCGTACCACACGCAACGATTGCTTGTGATCAGTACTAACCTGGAATTCGGATAAGTCAAGGATACAAATCATTGCTTTAGGTGAAACAGGTATCGTGTTTTTCTATCACCAAACACATTGTCCTATCATGGATCTCCTTGTCGCCTACTACTGCAGAGTTCAATGTTCAGAGTTGCCTTCCTGAAGCGTGCCAGGATCCGAAGAAGTTTAACTCACACCCATACCCGTGATTTGATGGTACATATGGCTTGTGGTTTAAAAGGCCAAATAGCGCTGAACAGGGTTGTGTCCCTTTGGCGTATGTCTAAATTCCAGAATCACCAGATTATGGACCTTGATTTGTTCCAACAAAACATGCGCTGGCGGCTTTACCGCAGTGCAGTACGGTATATATGCATTATTCAATGAATTATGAAAGTTATTCATAAACGATATCCATTTATACAAGGACGCGAAGCTAAATATGTAAGCCAGATGCTACATCCTCCGTCCAGAATAACATCTGAATCTTCAAACGCCTTAAATATATGTACGGTGTTGCTGCAACCGACAGACATGAAAAGTTTTGCACTGGCAGGCAGGTGTGTACATGTATGTTGTGAGCAGATCTATCCTGCAGTGGCTCCAGCACAAGAGAGGATACAGTCCTTGGGAAGAGGAGGGAGCGTGTTGTTCTCACAATTTGAATACAAGCCCAGCACTGTAAATTCAGCCGACAAACCCTTGCCATATTCACTGTAGTATTTCGACAATCTCGACTATGTTTCAAAACGCAAACAAAAACCGTGCCCCTTTTCACAAAATTCAAACGTGACTAGATGCTTACAAATATTTAGTATTGTATATAAAACATAAAGTTTTGGCTCTTAACATGTTTACCTTCCAAACTTCCCTACCCAGCTCACACCACACACACACACACACTCTCTCTCTCTCTCTCTCTCTCTCTCTCTCTCTCTCTCTCACACACACACATACACTCTCTCTCACACACACTCTCTCACACACACAAACACTCCGGATCTTGTCAAGACGAAAAGAAGAGCCTTGGGTAGGTTATATATTGCCACATGCGAGGTGAAAATCTAATGTGTCAAGAAGGATATCAAGGTCAGTCAAGTTATTGAATCGCTACTTTATGCATGAAACTCGGAACTAATGGAAAGTTTTCAGTAGAGAAGAAACACCGGGGAAAGTCTTCACCTCATACGTCAAGAGTTTGATTGATCAAATCTAAAATAATATAAACCAGGCCAAGGTCGTTACTGTGTCGTGCTTCCGCGTTTGTTCGTTTCGTGGATTGGTGGATTTCGTAAAGAACGGATGTTGGCCTCAAAATCCGAGAACCGACAATCATTGGACACATCCATTTATATTGCTGAGGGATTATCTAATCCAGGTTTATACGGAGTGGCTGCAAGCTGGACTCTTCTTTATGACTTTTATTGAACAATTTCCAATTTTAAGTTGTTTGGATGTATTTTGTTTTGATTTTCCTGCTTAAGGTAATTTGAAACAATTATTACATGTTATAATATTAACATGGAGACATCTTCAATCGAGAGAGCACCTTGTTAATCTTGTTATTACTGCCTGGATAGTTAATATGATACAAGAATATTCAGGCGATAATATTCTGCGTTTTCAATGTTGAGCTCTGTTTTCTGTAGATTTAATCGCGCTAAATTGAATTTTGGAACCGAACGCGCAGCGTTGTACAACTGTAGATTAGGTAGCTCATATTTGAATTTGAATAACATTCCAAAAGTAGCCAAGGGCAGATAATAACTTATTATGACCCAAGTTAAAAATATTTGCAATACTTAATTAAAAAAAAGATTTTGTCTGATTCTGATTTTGTTCTTCACTGTTCGTCGCTGCAAAATTAGTTGTTCAATTGCGTGCATCTCGAGGACAATCCTGATCTGTTACATGTAAGCTAAACGTAAACCTGATGATTTACTGTGAGAAATGTGCATGCTGGCACAACCATTGCCAACGGAACCAGCCCAAAGTACGTTTGAATACCGCCGTTTTTAGCTGAAGACATGCCGGCCCTGCGTCACATGAGAGACTTCTGATGTTTTGGGGACACAGAGGTTAGTATGTGTTTGACTTTAATTGCGTGTATTCTGAAATATATTTCATCATGTTTGATAAGTTGTTGCGGCCAAGTGCTTGTGTAGTATACAGTTAGTGTCATCATCTGATAATGTTCCCAAATTCAACAAATACAGTTCGTATGCGTGGTAGAGGTTATCGACAACCACTTGTATATGCATCAATATGTAGGGTATCGATAGATCGATGTAGTCACACGCAATTTCTATATAGACACTTAGAATCAAGCATTCATCAGTGTCATGGTACAATACTAAGTAATTTCTTTTTCGTTAATCCGGAAAGTTGCAGTCAGGGGATTACACAAATTCGCGTTTCGGATGCATACATTTTGAAGAAGCAAAAAACTAATGCAATTATTTTCACCGATTTAATAAATAATACATTGACAATAATCCCCTTCCGCAAAAGGAAATACTACACAATTTCGGTTTCTGTTGGGACAAAACACATTTTAGTAATTGCTAGCCATGTCCCAAGAGGGTAGCTTCATGTTATAAAAGGAACACATCTATTCAATATTAATCGCTCTTGCATAATATGTATTGTGATATATAATTCGATGAGGCTGAGTAAAGTTGCGTCAGAAACTTATGATTGTGGGTTCGATTTCAAGAGTCGCCCTGATTAAGTTTGTCAGGACCATACCCGTGCTCCTGGGTATCATCAAACTGGTTTCCGTGATAGACATTCATCACTTCACGCTTTCCTCCCCCATCACATTGACACGACACGATGCGCCAGTACTGTTAAAAGCGGTTTTAATCCAAACATACTCAGTCACACATCTATTTAATATTAATTGCTCTTGCATAACATATATTGTGACATAAAATGGAGGAGGCAAAATAACCGTATGAATTCCCATGAACGTCCAAAGGAAAAGATTTTACCCGTGCTCATGGGTATCACCAAACTGGTTACCGTCTAAAACATTCACCACTTCACGCTTTCCTCCCACATCAAATTGACACGACACGCCAGTACTGTCAAAAGCGGCTATACTCAAAACACACTCACTCACTTGTTAGAATTTAACATAGTGCAAACAGTTCCAGGACTGTTCACTATTTCGTGGCAGTCGATGGGGAACGCGCGGATACATACTGATTGTTATTACACCCTCATACATGGTATACATTCAGAAAACCACATGTTAACTCAATTTAAATCCATCACAGCATCTTAAACAAACAAGTCTCAGGAAGACTTACAGAATGGTTTTTGGTCACTGATATCCAATTATGTAACCAACAGAGACTGATGAAGGTAAAGAACTTAAATCGAAGCCAACAACAAATTCTTTGAGGCTGGAAAGCTAAACCCGACCTCTGTTCTTTGAATTACGTTATAATTCACCCCAGATGTTAAAGCATGAATCTCTATCACGAGCCACGCTCAGCAACAACACCTCCACGAACAGCATCAGACATCAAATGAACGGGAGGTCGTGTTGTGGGAATATTCGTGCTGTCTTGTTCTGACATCGATAGTCAATGATAAACAAAGAAGAAGTGTTCGAAATGTTACAATGCTTCCAAGCTTTCCAGAAAATGAACTGAAAAATAATATATGCATGTAAATGGAAAACTGATCATTCCTTGATGTTGGCAATATTCCATTTCCCTTCCATTTTCATTGTGTTGTTCAACGATACTCATTGAAAAGCAGAGATGTCGTGTTAAGAAAGTTACAACGTTTCAAAGCTTCTTGGGATAATTATTTTCAAGATAATATATAAATGTAAGAGACTGAAAAGTCAGGGTAACAATAAGTACCATCTTTTAACGTATTTAAAAATGACACGGGCGCGGATCGAACAACCGATCTAAATGGACATGGGTAGGGCCCTTGAGGAAGCAAGAAGCCTATGATTGGTTCGAATCCATACAAAGAAAGAATGAAAGAAACAAACATAATGTCCGGCCAAACTCCTGGTGATTAAAGTACTAGAGAAGAGTGGATATTTGTTGTTTTAAATGTCTTTGGACGCCCAAGTCATAAACAAGGACATAAGCGAGTCGGCAAAAAGTAACACAATAGCTGTTTTCATTAGAGAATGTATATTTATTCAAAGTACTGACATGGATAAACGGAACAAAAACACGGAATGTTAATACAAAATGTGCAACATTGCTTTAATTAATCGCATTCATATCTCTCTCTCGCACTCAATGGTGATAGAATATGATGGTTAACTTACCGTTACATACATCTCTGAACAATTGTTTTCTCCCTCACACCCAAATGTAGTTGTATGCCATGAATCTATCTTTAAATCTAGAAATCTACTTCATGTATCTATCTACTCATGAGGTATTTTCATTACTATAAATTATTTGCTGTTTATATTTGTAATTTTTAAATGTATATTTTTATCATTTCTCTTATTTAACTATACTTAATGTTCACTTAACAGTACTGTTTTAAGAAACAATGCCGCAATTTCGATAAGGACAATACAAATAACAAATCATAAACAGTACTGAATTATTTCATAAAATAGATATTTGATATAAAACATCTAACAGTATGAAGCTAATGAAAGTAATATATAAGTTCAGATATTACATGTTATTAATTAAAAAACAAGCAAACCAGCTGTTGCACTAACACACATGTCAAGCACGTGACCTTATTCACAAACATCCATGAAAATACATGGCTGGATTTTGCATCCAAGACAAAGAGGAACATATCACATTGTATTCTTTATATTGTGTAACCCAAAGCAAAGATCGACGGTGTGTAGTGGAGCTTTTTAGAAGCGTAACTGCTTTTAGGAAAAGGGACAAAACCATTAATTTTCCATATTCATAACAGATCTCCACCAGTCCATTGTACGATTCCGACTGTACCATAATCACGTGTTTAGGAATCACTTTCAAATAGTGATGATACCAGGTGTTGGCGAAATGGGGAGCCTATCCTGCCCCACTGGAGGCACCCGTCACAAACACATGCAAAGGCAAGTCATTTGTTCACCTTAAAAAAACATGGGAACATACATTCGAGTATAGTCAGATAAGGGAATTGCATCGGACATCGTATTGGTCACAAATGCGTCAACTTTGGAAATGTTCTCAATATGTCTACCATAAAACGTTTCGAAAGCTTTACTGAGGCCTTGAATGTTGTAACCCTGATCAAACAACTTTTGAGCATGAAATCATGGCAACGGGGACATCTGTCTTGTGTTAGACATTGCACATGAGTTGTTATTGCATCACGTAAATCTTAAAAACACAACAACGTAATTCATTTCAGGGACGAGTTTCGTGCTTTTTACGGAAAGGGGCGATTGGAAACGAGTTCGTCTGCATCATTCGTGAACACTCGTTTCATTCCGGTACAAGCTTCTTGCAGTTGACGGAAAGGGGCGAATGGTGAAGAATAGATCTGCATCGTTCGTGCCCATTCGTGTAATTCCGGAACAAACTGCTTGCAGTTTACGAAAAGGGGCGAGTGGAGACGAATACATCTGCATCATTCGTGACCTCCCGTGTCATTCCGGTACAGGTTTCTTGTAGTTGACGGAAAGGGGCGAGTGGCAAAGAATACATTTGCATCCTTCGTACCCAATCGTGTCATTGTGGGACAACTTCGGAAAAGGGCGAGCTGTAACGAATGTTTTTTCGTAAGCGTAACTCGGCATGGAGACACGAAGTCATGGTTTCATGTCAAACACAGAAACATAATTGCCAGGCAATTTCCCTGATCTTCCGTTCAGCTTGCATACGGCATGTGCATGTGGCCACTACCTTCCTGTACTGGCTGCAGTTGACGTGCTGTTTCCTTTTTTAATGTCTTCTTTCACATACTGCTTTCCGTGGAACTGATTACAACATCATGTTTTTTTTAATGCTACAGGAATTGCGACAAAAAGATAATGATAAATTCAGTTTAAAATGTTTCAACAATCCGGACATTGACATCTGTCGGTTTTATAATAAATTTAAAAGATGACTTGTTTGTTTTAAGTCGTATATTTTGACGTATGTTCCATCAAACTCGATAGACTAAGAACACGGTCTATACCAGTTGGTCGTTGGTTCAAAAGTTATACTAAGATATATGAAAATGTTTTTTCTTTGAACATTTTAACAGATTGTATTTAATAATTTATCGATTTCAATCACCATTCTTTATTGTTATTTGAGACGGGTTCTCGAATTCGAAAGGATTTCTTTTACATTTTAAAATAATAATTATCAATACTTAATTTTATTTACTTTGTGCATAATCGTTGTCTTATTTCCAATAAATTCAAATGGTCATGTCGGAATAGCACTGTTAGCAATACCACCACAGTGATAAACAAGCACTAGAATTACATGTACGTCGTATGAAACCGAGGGACGAAGAAAACTGTGCCTCTCTTTTGATTTTATCCGTTTGTATCTTTTATCGTATGTTGACGATGTTATATCCACAAAATGAACTGTACTGACGCCGAATGAGCACTCAAAGAATACTTCTCCATGGTTATATTTAAAAAATATATAATTAAATTTCAAACTTTTCAAAATTAAAAAAAAAGATTCGCATAATACACAACTGCTTATGGCGTCAGGCGTCTCAGGCGTCTTATCTTTGAAAATCAATAAATTGGCTTTTTTGGGCAGAAATATACATTTATATCATGGTAGGTGTCATATAGTTGCAAATTAATTTCTTACACCAGTCTTCATTGAACCAATATATTTTTACACAGCCACTTAAAACACTTTTCAAGCTGGTTTCATCACACGTTATCAAATTTAACAACAGTTCTTACAATTTTCAATTTCATAAAAAACTCCGTATACTTTCTTTTGCCCTTCAGTTTAGAGAAGATCACGGTGTAGGATATACCACAGAGTATTACTATCTGTCATTCGAGCGACACGCCTCATTAACATTTAACATTAATGGTATTAAATGGATTCTAAATTCCATACAGAAGTAATTCTTTACTCCTTTTAGAGTGACTATTCATTCCTCTCATAAAAGTACCACGATAAACAAAAGACCGTAGAAGGCTAACCATGACAGAATATCCATAAAATAGAATTTCAGATGTTCAACAACAATACTCAGGGCAGATAAGTGCTTTGTGTCCAAAGTGTAGCACTGACTCTTGAGTTTCGGGGTCTGGACATTGTCCTCTGTTGAGAAACAGCATGTACGGACGTATGTTCCACTTGATCACATGACCCCACAGATGCGTCATTGGTGTGTTTGGATGACATACAAGCGATATATGCCAGTGCTTGCTCGGCCTGACAACATGTGCTTGAAGCAGCAGAACCAGGTAGAACTTTATCCGTTTCTGTCAGAGATCTGGATTAGTCCGTGTTCGTAATGGACAGATTTCACCGAATGAATTTGAATACAAAGATGCCTATAACTCAATCTGATTTATATTCCGAACAAGCTGTTCATGAGACCGTATTGTCATCCACTATTTTTTTTTGCTGAATTGGCATATATTCGTCCTAACGATCATACACTTGGACTTGCCCTTACCTACTTGTCCATAGTCCCGTATCTGGCACCAAACCAATGATGTTCTGCAGACTTTCTTTAATGCTTCTTGAATTTGCACATGTCAAAATGAAACAGCAACATAAAGGTCCGACAAGATGCACCAGGGACTCGGAAACTTTGACACAAAATACACGAACCACACCATCAATGCCTGTTGTGCATTGTGAACAGATACCATATAAGCCAGTACTATACAGATACAGAGAGAACACCTTGGTGCCGTGTCGCCATTGATTTCACAAGCGTCATATTGACAGATGTAATATCAATCAGTCATTACCTTACTGGACGACACTGAGGGTTTCTTGGTGTTGCGATATCGTGTCGTGGTGTCCACAATTATGACCTAGCTGTGTGACATAAACGTCATGTGAACAGATCCAACGTCAGGTAAACCTTGCAGTGCGACACTGAGGATGTCTTTGCGTCTTGATGTCCATAAGCGTCATGTGAACAGATCCAACGTCAGGTATAACCTTGCAGAACGACACTGAGGATGTCGTGGCGTCTTGGTGTCCACAAGATTCATGTGATGTTCCGTTCCATTTCTCCAATGTTATCCCAAGGCCATGGAGCTGACACCTAACGTTCTTGGTCACTTTTAGAAAATGAATCAATTGTCCGCCTTCAGGGTCAATGCTTGCTGAACATATAGTCTCTCAACCCATACTTGACAAAGTCTTTGCAGACTTGGTCCGCCTGTCTAGACTTGTACATCATCGCCTTCATGATAGAATGCTCCGTCATGGCCGTAGGAACCATCGATAGAAAGTTTGGTAGCGTCATTATGCCTTTTATTCCTATGTTGACGTCTAAACCTAAAACATAAATAGAGGGAGGTGTTAGGACAACAATTAAAAAAACAAAAAAACAAAAACAAAGCCCAAACAAGTTCGCTGGACATTCTGACTGTCCCAAACAATGTGTTGTGAATTTTTGCGCATCTACCGTCAAAGAATATGTGTGTGTCTTGTATCAGTGGTCGAAACAATATTCTGTCTTTATCAAAAGCCCCACCAGGCAAAAGATATACACCCATGTTTGATGGTGGCTAAACATGAATCAAACATAAAACAGTTATTGGATGGTGATGTAATGAGCAGAATGACGCAGGTATTGTCAGGATCAGTTTGAGTTGGTTCACAGATACCAGACATTCAGCCAAGTACGATTTTACAACGTTTGTAATTTTGTGTGTGTAAAATCCAATTTTCATGTGTATTCCTTTTGCCAGATAGTACAGTTGGAACATTGTTGAGTGTGGCGTTAAGACTATACTGTACTATAATCGAGACTGACTACATGTAATTGCTAACTTCTCAGTCGGAGCATCTCCAATGTACTAACATGTAAAATATCACACTTCTGGTCAAACAGATGTGAACAGGTTTTTCAAATTTTATCAATGACCACCTCCGTGGTTAGTGGATACAGCATCTTTCAGGAGAGCCGAAGGTCGGTGGTTAGATCCCCGTCCACGTCTTACCAAAATACGTTAAAGGACGGTAGTTGTTGTTACCCTGCCTGGCGCACGGCAGCAAGGGGATAAAAACACTTTAGTGTCTTTAAGTCTGAACTATCAACATTTTCTGCGATACAGAAGAACGCAAATTGAAATAAAAGGGTTCGATTTTGAGGTCGTTAAACATCTTAATCTTCAAACAAATTTCCTTATAGTTATGACTGTGGAACAATTTTGTAAACTGCATTTGAAGTATTGCTTTTGATTTAAGATTTGACAATATTGCAAATGACACAGCCGCTAAATTGGAAATGGCGCCGCACGGTGTGTTTAATTTAATGTATTTTCGTGATAAGGAAAAAATCGAAATCTTCTGTCTTGTATTGGAGATGATGATATATTACAACACTATTGCCAATATTTTTCATATTAGATAATAAAACCATGCTGTATTCCAGGGAACATTCATGAGAAGAAAAAGCAAAATACCACGCTTAATGATGTGATATCTTCCAGTTTCACATGCGTTTAAGAGACTCGGAGCTGATTTACGATGCTACATAGATGCTGTTGGTGAATGTCTGGCCTTTGATGTACACTGTATACGACTGTCTGACAAGTATTACATCAACAATATAGCGGCATTAAATCTATATTTAAAGGTTGACTAAAATATCTTTTCAGGTTCTCTGTAATATATGATTCCCCCCCCCCCCCCCCCCCATGGAAAACCAATTTAAGGTATTTTAAAAACTTTATTAACGTTTTCATACATGTACACATTAACGTGTAATAATTCCTTAAGATCCATTCTAAACTGCCTTGCAAAAGGAAGTAGCCTGTTTGATGGTGGCTAAACATGATACAAACAAGAAATGGTTATTCATGGTGATGTCTTTCATACGGGTATCATAGTTGTGTTTTGAACTTTTACTTTCTAGTGTTTCAGCGACTGTTCTCGGCCTAGTAACATTTTGATCAAAAATTGTTTTGGGTCAATCCAACTTTTAGGTTTATACTTTCTTTTGCCTGACAATATATTATTAATGATTGAAGTAGTTACCTGTATGGAAATTGTAGCACCTTGCAGCATCTCCCTCGGCGACGACGAAAGTGTCGGAGTCTTCGAAATACGCCACTGTCTCCAAACGCTGAGATAACTTGATCTCAAAGAGTCGTGGGCTGAATTTCATTAGTTTTAGAGCGAACGAGTCACTTAAGGAATTTTCAGAGGTACTCTTGTAGGTGTTGAAGCATTTCATGAAGATGTTTCGCATCATCTGAAACAAAGCAACACGATAATGTTTAACACAGCCTTCGTAGTCTAGTGGGTATAGCGTCTACCAAGAGAGCGGAAGTTCGGTGGTTGGATCCCCTTGTCCTATCATAACAAAAGACGTTAAACAATGGTTGGTTTGTTGTTTAACGCGGCACTCAGCAATATTCCAGCTATATGACGGCAGTCTGTAAATAATCGAGTCTGGACCAGACAATCCAGTGACTGACATCATGAGCATCGATCCACGCAATTGGGACCAATGACATGCTTCAACTAAGTCAGCGAGCCTGACCACCCGATCCCGTTAGTCGCCTTTTACGACAAGCATAGTCGCCTTTTACGGCAAGTATGGGTTGCTGAAGACCTATTCTACCCCGGATCTTCACGGGTCGATAAACGATGGTACCCCGGATTAAGGGGATAAAACAAGGACTGGAAGAATATATGATAGTTGTTTCGAATCCCGATTATGTTTCGAGGTCTGTCGGCGCCATACCCGTGCTCGTGGGTTTCACCAAAGTGGTGAACGTGTAAGACCTGAATCTCTTTTGGACATTCCTCCCACATCAAGCTGATACATCATGTTATATCTGGAACACTATTCAAAACGTCCTTGAACCCATCTCACTCCCTTACCCTTAAGCTGCCACACAATGGCATAGGGGTAATACATTTTCAAAACGGCGTTAAATCCAGATTTACTCTACGTTGTTTTCATTATCCGAAAACCCGTAACACATTTATAATCTGAACTGAATACATGTTAAAGTATCAGACACCGGTATCTTTACGAACCCTTGAATGCTACTTCACTGTATAAACGTCTTGGAAGAAAGACACGCAACAGCAGACTTTTTTAAGCAAATGTCTGAAAAAGTCTGAAGTACGTTGCCCGCCTGTTTGTTGCATGCAATGCCTTTATATTCAAAAGACACATTTATATCCGTAGGCCTGGAAGGAAGCAGAGAGAAGTGTAATAATTCTCACACGTCCACTATCTGCAGGTTATTTACGTCTGTTCTATTAACGCAACTCACTGCGATATTAGATGCATTGTGGGATTTTACGTCTTTCCGTAAAGTAGGCTGCCAAATGTCGTGAAAGATCTATGGCAGCTCATCCTAATACGTGTATTTCGCCACGACTTTAAAGCACGGAGTTGCATTCTGGGAAATGCGGTCTTGTCGTAAAGTGGAACGAAATGTAAACAAGATCTATGGCACTTCTGCCTAATTCCCCGAAGAGCGGACACTCCACCGTCTTCTTCACGTTCAAAGGAATCATTCACCACTTCACGGAGTCTGATTAAAACATACAATACAAAAATCGATGAGTCTGTATCATTTTAAATGGAGCAACAACTTTGCAAAATAAAATGACCCTTTCAAAGGACAACTCTCAACTCGCCTTTCAAAGGCCAGCTTCAAAGAGTTAATTAATCTAACTGCATCTTCATCCACCCTCAAAATGTTTGTTATCGTGATAATGAAACTTGCTTCGATCGCATCTGGGGGCCATATTGTATGTATTGGAGGATGCATGGCTTCAGGGAAACCTTTAGTTCTACTTTGTAACAAAACTGAAAACATACATTAGTTTAGGATTGGGAGTAAATTATGAACTTTGTGCAGTGATGTTCTCTCTCCCGGATATTGAAAAGATAAATCGGATTTTTTTGTGAAACACATTCTCGACTCGTTGAAGGCAAGGAGGCTGGACGACGAAGGAAATTACAAACTTTCATTCAAACGTCATAATTCTTGATCCTCGTCAAGCCCATTCCATATTGTTATTTCGAGACGAAGGATGGGCTCTGACCTCCACATTTCTCAATTACTTAAGTACATAAGAGCATGTACGTTTAATTCAAATGTCACTGAAAGACCCTACTAAGCTTTCAACGCCAAGGTTACACCATCAAAGACCTGGTTAAGTCATTCCAGAAATATTTTGGAAGACATTCAGAGAACCTTTCTCAATATGACACGTCGCTTGTCAACATAATGGGAGATGCTATCCTGCAGTATGACCTTCACATGGAGTTTTCACACCTCCTCACCCACTGGCACTTTAATGAAATATATATAAATCGACTATGTATGCACAGAGCTACGTTTCGACACTTTCTGGTGTCCCCCCACCGTGATATTACTGGAATATTGCTGAAAGCAGCGTAAAACTCTCTCACTTTCTTATTGCGATGCAAACGTCTGTTTGTACTCAGCAATAGTGCAGGAGAATGTCCCGTCTGTACAATTATAGGCTGGGCCAGACAATCTAGTGATTCACATCATAAGCATCGATTCACGCAGTCCGGATGTGATAACATGTTCAGAATCGATCAGATCAATTGTGATACGATCCCGTTTGTAACTTCTTACGACAAACATGAGTTGCTGAAGACCAATTCTAACCCTGATCTTCACGGAAGGAGACAAGCATAGGTTGCTGAAGACCAATTCTAACCCGGATCTTCACGGGAGAAGACAAGCATAGGTTGCTGAAGACCAATTCTAACCCTGATCTTCACGGGAGAAGACAAGCATAGGTTGCTGAAAACCAATTCTTACCCGGATCTTCACGGGAGGAGACAAGCATAGGTTGCTGAAGACCAATTCTAACCCGTACCTTCACGGGAGGAGAGAAGCGTGGGTTGCTGAAGACCATTTTTCACCCGGAACTTCACGGAAGGAGACAGGCATAGGCTGCTGAAGTTCAATTCTAACCCGGGTCTTCACGGGAGGAGAGAAGCATAGGTTGCTGAAGACCAATTCTAACCCGGATCTTCACGGGAGGAGACAAGCATTGGTTGCTGAAGACCAATTCTAACCCGGATCTTCACGGGAGGAGAGAAGCATAGGTTGCTGAAGACCAATTCTAACCCGTATCTTCACGGGAGGAGACAAGCATAGGTTGCTGAAGACCAATTCTAACCCGTACTTTCACGGGAGGAGACAAGCATAGGTTACTGAAGACCAATTTTAACCCGGGTCTTCACGGGAGAAGAGAAGCGTGGGTTTCTGAAGACCAATTTTAATCCGTCTCTTCACGGGAGGAGAGAAGCATAGGTTGCTGAAGACCAATTTTAACCCTGGTCTTCACGAATGGAGACAAGCATAGGTTGCTGAAGACCAATTCTAACACTGATCCTCACGAAAGGAGACAAGCATAGGTTACTGAAGACCAATTCTAACCCGGATCTTCACGGGAGTAGAGAAGCGTGGGTTGGTGAAGACCAATTATTATTCTAACCCGGATCTTCACGGGAGAAGAGAAGCGTGGGTTGCTGAAGACCAATTCTAACCCTGGTCTTCACGGAAGGAGAAGAATAGGTTGCTGAAGACAAGTTGTAACCCGAATCTTCACGGAATGCGATACTAATGATGCTGATGGTGGTGAATGATAACGATGACCTCGATAACGATAATTATGCCGATGATAATAGCGATAATGATGGTGGTGACTGTAATTATGGCCTTCAAAGCTGTTATGACAGTGATGGTAATTATACCGATAATGACAATGACATGTGATAATAAACATATGATCATATACTCACCGATCTATCTAACACAACCCGTAATGTTTTCACTAATGGCGATTCGCATTTTGGAACTATAAGCGTCATATAACGGGACTTGGAACTGCCAAATATTTTCAAAGAGAATCCTGTTAATCCATCACATTCGCTTGTATCTGTCCCGTAGGCTGTCAGGTCAAAGTGCAAGTTATGGACTCGTCTCTCCGGCATGGGAACATTGTGCTGCTCCGGGCGTTCCACGGCGGCCACCGCAGCGTACGCCTTACACGTATGCTGTACGAACTCGTCGCTAAGTCCCATCGTACGCACCGCCTGGCCATTAGCTCCATCACAAACGATGACGAGTTTCCGGCCAGGGATAAATTCTATTTCTTTTGTATGGTCGCGGGTAAACTGCAAAAAGAGAATGAACGGTAAATTAGAGGTCTTTACGATGTTTTGAACGATGAAAATATTTTCAAAACCTTCAGATAATCGAATTAATCAGTATCTGTTTTTCAATGTATTGTTTTGTGTTTGAGAATGTGAATATTTATTGTGTGATACGTGTACATTGAGTATGAATTTAGTTCATAATAATTTTAGCGATGCTTTGTTTACCAAGTTATGGGCGTTTAAGGGTTTCCATAAATTTATTTACGGTTACTTTTCACCGCTATTTCGTATTTTACGCCCGGTGGAATCTGTTTCGGCAGATAATCGACACTTGTCCTTTGGCGTTGACGTTTTATATACATTTAACTGAACTTCGTTAACCACAATATTTGTTAAAGTCTCAACAAAAAACTCGGTGTACACTGTGACTCTTTGCGTAAATCCGTTTCTTGAATTTATGCAGTGTGCATGCACACAGGATGTGACGTGAAGAACTCCATAAACACCAAAAAAATATTGAAACCAATTCTTAGTAATAAATACGTCAACAATAATAATTTCACAGACTTCTTATTTAATCACCAACCCACAAAGAAACTGTAGACAAACATACGAAATCAATAGTCAGTTATTGGCCTGGTGACCTAATTTCTTTCGATTTATTGAAACATGGACGCAAAACAATTTAATTTGCTTGATTAACAAATCCAAAACCTCGGAATCCCTTGCAATTTATATATTCGAGTAATCGAGTGCTATCGAGTAATCCGTAGCTCGAGACAAACGGAGGCCGATATTAGACCATATTCCCGATACCGATTCTGCAGACTAATCGTGTAAACAGGCATATCGAGTTCTAAATGGGATATCGAGTTCTAAATGGGATATCGAGTTAAACGCCTTCGAGTTAACCAGGTATCACACTACACCGTTAGGGAAGTACGTCCCCAACACAGCAATTTGAAAGCATTTGTTGACGGTTTGGCAAAACACGCCGTCATACTCGTTTCAACTGTGACATATTTCCTAAAGCAATGACCTCAAATAACGCACTATAATATCCCTTCAGGGAAGGATTCGGAGACACAGCACCCTCCACAACACATAACCTCCATCAACGTTCAATTGCAACAATGCTGAGTCTTTCCCTAGGGAGGGCAAATCAAGGTTCCTGCCTAAATCCTATCAAAGTCACTGCAGAATGTTGAGACTCCGTGTAATTTAGTTGACAATGAGGCATAATTGAATATTTGACCCAGGTGATGTCTTGTCTTGTTTGCGTGCAGGGAGGAGGGGCTTGTCCCTGATAATTTGTTGTTGTCACGATATCCTGTTGTTTGGGGCATAAAATGCTGTTATCAACATGAAATGGGGCAGTACTGACATGTATCATCTTGCTATTCCCATTATGAGGAAGTCAAGCGGTAGTCAGGTCACCTTGTTTTGTCTTGATGCAGATAAGCCTTTCTTCTCGGGCTTCTTAAAACGAGTGAGTGAGTGACTTCTCGAGCGTTGAACCAACATCACCTTTGAAAGGGTAGCTAACGTTCGCCGTATTGAACCGTATTCCAGTTATATCACGGTGTGTCAGCTTAATGTGGGAGGAAAGCCCGAAGTGATGCAGGGTTCCGGCATTTACCCAAGACCCGTATCTTCCTCGTGTATCATGCAAGTTGGGAAGTCTTAAATAAACTGATGTGTGATGCTGTATACAGGAATATCTTAAACATTGTTCGATTGGCGTGAAGTGAACCTGCGTCCTCGGCGTAACAAGCAAGCACGTTAACCACTAAACTACCCCAGCGCCATTTAAGTCCGCCAATATCAATATCTCGCTAAACTACATTTCATGTTTATCGTATTCCTATTAAACACTTTTAGTGGGGAAAATACATGCCCATGACAAAATAAATAACATGGCTAACATTCGATCTGTCTCCTTTGACTCGGGGTATGTGACAATTTCGCCTTTTCCATACTCAAATTTGATGAATTTATGTGTCAGCAGCCAAATTGCTCATTTCTCTGTCACCGCCGTAGAATTATATGAAACGTTATCACTATTTGTCATTTTTTCAATGGCAAAAGTATTGATTCGTTCTTTTAATTACACGTTCAATTTCCAGAGGCTCTGGCGTCGTGAAAGCGCCATATTTCTTCTACAGATAGTTTACTTCATACCTGAAACAGCAACAGAAAGACGTGGCGACATTTCCCCTCGCTCTGACCGCCCTGCCTCCTATTAATTTGAAAGATATATGCGTTTTTGTTGAAGTGCGTGTAATTGCTGTACTCGAGAAAGATTGGGAGGTAAAGGATCAACCGTGCATGTCAAATTGAAATTAGAACCTAGATGCAAGAACCGTGAACGATGGGGTCCCTTTCGAAAGGTCTATCTTGAAGAAACATCTTGAAATTGATTTCTGTTGCTTTCCCAAAAGAACGCTTCTTCAAGTCAAAGCTAGGTAGATAATAGGAATTCGTTTTTTACATTTTTTTTTTTTTTAAATTTTTATTCAGTGAAGTTCTTTACATTCTTCCTGCGCCTTCAGGATCTTAAACTCATAGCTCGCTGTTGGAGACAGTGCACGCTCTGTCACGTCTCAGACCTTGAGTGCTATGTGAGGATACTGAAGGGGTAAATACGTGTATCTTTGATTGTGACGTCAACAAGACCGTTTTTGATGTGTGCATATTTCAACAATTTGTCACGTACGTCATGATTGACAGTGACGCCCGGAGAGAAAATGACATAAATTTTCACCACGGACCGAGATGTGAAATATGGAATATAAATATCAAGAATCAAGAAATCACAGCAATTCAGTTAAACTCAGTTAAACTCACACCCTTGATTTGATGGTACATATGGCTTGTGGTTTAAAAGCCAAATAGCGCTGAACAGGGTTGTGTCCCTTTGGGGTATGTCTAAATTCCAGAATCACCAGATTATGGACCTCGATTTGTTCCACCAAAACATGCGCTGGCGGCTTTACCGCAGTGCAGTACGGTATATATGCATTATTCAATGATTTATGAACAGTTATTCTATCACGATATTCATGTATACAAGGACGTGAAGTCAAATATGTAAGCCAGATGCTACATCCTCCGTCCGGAATAACATCTGAATCTTCAAACGCGTTAACTCTATGTGCCGAATGGATGCAACCGACAGAAATGAAAAGCTTTGCACTGGCAGGCAGGTGTGTACATGTATGTTGTGAGCATATCTATCCTGCAGTGGCTCCAGCACAAGAGAGGCTGCAGCTCTTGGGAATAGGAGGGAGCGTGTTGTTCCCACAAATTAAATACAAGCACAAAACTGTAAATACAGGCGCAAAACCCTGGCCATATTCACTGTACTATTTCGACTATATCACTAAAACAAGTATTTAGTTTCTAAACGGAAACCAAAACACGTTCCTTTTCACAAAATTCAAACGTGTCTAGAGGCTTAAACATATTTAGTTTGTATATATAACATAATTTTTTTTAGTGTTCATCACAGCTATGACCTTTAATTGATTATTTATGTTACTAATTCCACGGAAGTATCGCTCTTTAAATGTACTTTATTTATTTTAAAGTTTAATATTAATACAATTGTCCAATGTTTGTATATATGTTTATCATATAATGGGTAGGTTTCTCTGCAGGATAAAGCCAACGGATAAAAACGATATCCGTTGGGGTCATATGCGGATAGAGATGCAAATATCAAAGGTCAATTGGGGACTACTTTCACTGTTTACAAACAAACATGGCGTCACCCTTGTCATTTGGCGATCGAGTCATGATCAGAATTAACCATCGGGAATCTGGAGAAACTACTGGGATAATTGATATCATCATCAAAAGAACAGTCTAATATACTGAAAATCAGTTTGGCAACTTTGGAGAATAAATTGCGAAACAATTTTGAGAGGGCACTAGTCCTTGCCGAGCGGGATCAGTAGCCATATTTGTGCTTGTGGAACGTATTCCACAAATTAAATTAGTTGGATTTGTCAGAAATATGTTTGAATTGTTACCTGGTTGTTTTCAACAACGTCTGACCGTGGATGTGACGTATCATAGACTGGGGTTAGAGTAACTTCCCTTTGACAAAGGGCAGTTACTCTAGCGGACAGACCGATGGATTGCCGCGAAAGGCAAGTAAAAACAATTCGAGTAGGCAATTGTTGTTTTGCGTATATGTTCTTTCGCCACCGTATAAGAAACATATTTCTATATTGGCTACTGTCACTGTCCGACTGACACATCACTTACCCTGTGACGTAATATATATCAATGCGCACATTCAGGGAAAACTTGCAATGTTTCGGTAATGTTTGCGATTTTCATACTCTATTAATGTGGAAAGTTGGACAACTTTTGCCGGATCCTTTTGACCTATCGACGTAAATAAATCAATATAAATAAATCAACCAACGTCTCCCCAAGGGCAACTTATTATTACCCACGTTGAAACAAAATGCAATACTTAATGAAAAAACATGATTTTAGGATTTTGTCCAAAATTGATTTATTCTTCACTGTTCGTAGCTGCCAAAGTAGTAGTTCAATTGCGTGAATCTAGAGGACAATCCCGATACGTTAAATGTATGCTCAACGTTAACTTGATGATTTTCTGTTAGAAATGAGCCTGCTGGCACAACCATTGCCAACGGTACCACACTAAAGTACGTTTGAATACCGCCGTTTTTTGCTGGAGACGTGCCGGCCCTGCGCGAGATGAGAGACTTCTGATGTTTTTTGGACACAGAGGTTAGTATATGTTTGACTCAACTGCATGTCGTTCTGAAATATTTTTCATCCTGTTTGATAAGTTGGTGCGACCAAGAGATTGTGTAGTGTACAGTTAGTGTCACCATCTGAAAATGTTTCCAAATTCAACGAATACAGTTCAAAAACATAGGTATAGGTTATCGACAACCATTGGTATATGCATCCATATGTAGGCTATCCATAGATAGATAGATGTAGTCACCTGCAATTTTTATATGAAAATGTTA